ATCCTGGTGTGGGATCAGGCTGACAACTCCCACCTTGAAGGTGTGTGTGGGCAGTCGGAGGAGTTCAGCTTTAAAGCCAACAATACAGACCAAAGATAGACATTAGAAGGGGCATTCCCCAAGGCAAATGAGAGCTCTGAGAGCCTCCGTTCTTCAGAACATTACACTGTCTTTGGGCCTGGCTTAAGCTCCAGTTCTGACCATCACCTCCATGGTGGCCACTGCCCACCTCTCTTCCTTTCCTCTCCAAAAGAGCTAGAAAAAGGAGTTAAGTGACATGACCAGAAACTCTGGAATTCTTAAACTCAGAAACCCACAGTCAGGGAGACACTACCCATCCACAAACAACTCTGCCACGCAGCCTGACCCTCAGAGGAACAGTATGGGCACATACATGCATGAGAGCTCCCTGCAGAAGGTATATTGAAGTAAAGGGCTAGACTGTGAAAGCACCCTCCAAGTTCTAAGCCTTCTGTCCTAGGTTTCTCTCCAAATACCACACCAACGAACTACACGAGAAGCTGCTGAGACCTTGCCGGGAGACGTGGGGCCTCACCAGGTACTACTGGGTATTGGTTCTCTGTTCCTTGTTCCCTGTCCCGGAAGGTGTGGGGACTACTGTGGTTGTGCACCCCTACAAAAAAAAAAAAAAAAAAGAAACAAGCAGAATCAGGTTCTGCGCTGGCTTAGCTTGAGAACTGGGCCTGGAGGTCCGGCACAACAGGGATGACTCGCTCTGGTCCATAGATTCGGCGGCTAAGAGGTAGGGGCGCCGGCCGTGAGGGAGGGTTTGGAACTACACCGGATAAAGTGCAGTTCCATTGGATCACTGGGACCCGGCCTGCCAGACCAGTCTCCCAACATCCCGGCGCAGAGGGCCTCGTCGACAACCGGTGGGGCAGGAGCAGCCAGGCCCAGCCGGTTGGACAGACAGACACAGGGGCAAAGACGCAGGCGCGGGTCGCCCACAGCGCAGCAGCACTGCCCTAGCACCCCCGCGTCCGGGTGCGCAAGCCGAGGCCGAGCGGCGTGGACTGTGAAGCCTGGGCCTGCGCGACGCCCCCCGCAGTTCCCGTCCCCAAGTGCGGTACCTGCTCCTCCGCAGCCGTCGCTCGATGGCGCCGGGGCCGCGCTCTGCGTTGCGCTCTGGCCCGCGCGGCTGCCATGGAGACCGGCCTTTGTGTGGCCGAGGAGGGGCCGGAGCGCGCGGGAGCCGCCAGCCCCGCCTCCGCCAGGGGAGAAGGAGGGCGGGGAGGACAGGGGCGGGAGAGAGGGAGGGACAAGAATAAGGGATGGAAGATAGCCTACGAAGGGAAGGAGGGGCGGCTGGCGTCCCTAGCGTACCCCGCGTTCTCCCCGACTCAGGGCCACTTAAGCGCACTGCTTTGCTTGGAGGTTCGCGCCCTGTAGTAATCCGCGCGCCCTGCCTACTGCAGTTGTGACCCCCACCCCCCACCACCCCGTCATCAGAGGAGTTCGCTGAGGCTAGGCACCACCCCGGGAGTGCTTCAGGCAGAACTGAATGGCGCACGCGGCCCGGCACTAGTGGGTGGCTTCAGCTGGGCCAGACCGAGGCCTTAAGTGTTCCTCTTTGAGATGGGCGGGGCACAAGGAACCTCACCACCAGATTGGCAACAGGGTGACCAAGCTCGTGTCGTTCCCGAGTGATTCTTTCTTCAGGATCTAACCGCTCAGTCTCCTGCGGAATAGCTGGAACTGTGCTCTCATTGCCCTCCTTCCTGGCCCCCTTGGCCCAGCCTTATCGACCCCCCAAGTCTTCATCTATAGTGTGGGGCAGAACCACTCCCTAGAGTTCCTACTACTTTCTCATTTCCAAGTCACCCATGCTGTGGTCCCATGGATTTGTAACCAGCGATGATCCCACTGTTGCAGAACAGGGTTTGGGCCTAGTCTGCTTATCTCCGCTCATGTCTACCCTAGAGTATCTATCTCCACCCAAATTTGTCCTCCTTGAAGACTACCTACTTCCTATTACCTCAGGCATCTCCTCCCCAACTTTGGGGATCCACCCAATTCTTAAGCCTTCCCCAGCCAAAAGACTTTACAAATCTAAGTATTTCGCAGTTATCTAAGCAAGACTGACTTGCCCCATCATCAAGTAGCCAGGCTTTGTTCTTATTACCTACTTCCCTTCACCAACAACCGCCCCCCCACACACACAAGGGACTCCAAAATATTCAGTGCTTTGCAGGACTGCAAACTTTGTAACAAAAAATTTAAGTATTGTACCACAAAAAAGATATTTTAATGCCAAAGTTGTGGGGAGGCCAGTATTCCAAACTGAGTAAGGCTCAAAATAGAAGGCTGGAAGCTGGAGGGTAAAACAGCCCTCCTGTCCTTCCGGTCTTGTCCCTGGGGCTGGCTGCCTCATGACCTCCACCCAGCCCTCTTAGATCCCTGAATGCTGGCTCACAGCTCTCTCCAACATGCCACACAAGGGAGCCCTGGGGATCACAGCATCTTGAATTGGTTTTTCACTATTCAGGCATCTAGGCATGTTAACCATGAGAGACCTTGGGCTTGGGGGGGAGGGGAGCACCACCTTGAAGCCATCTGTCTTCTCTCCAGGCCTGCCCTGGGCATGGACTTGAAAGCTTGAACCTACTCTGGACTGAAGCCCCAACTAACTCAGAGCTGATCCCATCCTGGGAGAGCAATAGTAAAGAGGATGTAGCTGGTAGGAGGCCCCAGGCTGTAAACTCTACCCAGTAGCTAGGGCAAGCCCCTAAAAGGAGAGGGTACTTTCCTCATTCCTATGTTTGTCTGCCTTGGGTCTATGCCCCAGACAGTACTGTTGTGTCCACACACGTACCCCACATACCCCTAAATCTGTTTCCTGAGTCCCATGTCCAGAGTTCTAAGAATGGCTGATTGCTAGGACAGAAGTTAGTCACAGTCCCAAGTGGATGATGTCTAAAGTCCATCGGGGCCACTATAAAGCTTACTGTATGACAGCCCTCAGAAAGTGAAGGGAAAACACAACACATTGCAGTGGCATTTGAGATGTGCTCTTTAGAGTGGGACCACTAAGACCTGGAGGCTTCAGACCTGGGCACACCAAAAGCACAGTTTCACAGACTCCAAATGGCTAGCACTGTGCTGTCCCCATAGCCTAGGCACTCCATCTGTCACAGTGGAAGATGCCATATTTCTGGAGATCCCTTAGAGATCAGGCTTTTGGTGACAAGGCTGGCACCTCTGTTCCTGCAGATGCCAGGGCCACTCTTCCTAATGCCAAGGATTCAACCTCCATTTGCTCTGCTCAGTTTTCTAACTGGACACTGAGAATGATCTAGCTGATGGTACACCTTCATCACACCTATCTTGTCTATTTCCTGGCCTATAAAATGGATACAATGTGACAAGGTGTTATAGCCTGAGGTTACAGAGTAAAGGAGAAACACAAAGATCTAGGAACAGGGCTGGAACCTAGGTACAATGGGCAGCCTTTGTTATGTCTGGACTTAGCCTGGATCAGTGGGGAAGGGTAAGGCAGTACATACTTGAAGGATTGATCAAAGGAGTCCAAAGAGCTCAGAGGGTTACAGTCATGCTACAGGAGAGCTCTAGAAGAAAAGAAACACTCATCGTGCAGCTCTGCATCGGTTTTCTTTGTAAATACCCCTTAAAGTATTACAGGGTGTACAGCTGTTTTGTTTTTTTTTTTTCTTCTTCTTCTTCTTCCTTTGGCTTTTCGAGACAGGGTTTCTGTATATAACAGCCCTAGCTATCCTGGAAATAGCTCTGTAGACCAGGCTGGTGTGGAACTCACAGAGATCAGCCTGCCTCTGCCTCCCAAGTGCTGGGATTAAAGGCGGGCACCACTACCATTTGGCCATCCCACTCTTTCTAATGCCTCTCTTACCCTGCTGCTGCCCAACACTTCCCAGTGAGCCATCTACATGGCCTGGTTTAGACTCAGACTCAGATTTAGAGTCTGAGTGGTCAGGAGACCCACCTACCAGTTTCTGATACTCAGCTGGGTTTTGGCTGCAGCTGTGGGTCTGTACTATTCCAAGGGCCCTGATATTGGACTGGGTTGTAACATTGTAGCTCATTGTACCCAGGCGGGTGGGGGTGGGGTCAATGTACAACAGTATCCAATCCAGGAAGGGGTGAGACAGGGCCAGCAAACTCCTCCAACATTCAGGGACCAGGTTGTGGTTCCAAATGCCATTTTTACTGCTGAGACAAAAGTGGTTCTGGGAAGGGGCTGAAGCCAGGAAAGAGCCTTGAAGGGAAAGGAAGGCTTGGCAGATTTAGGTCCTTGGGATCACACAGGTTAACCCTTTCCTAGGAAGAGCACAGAACAGTACCTCCTAGATACACCTTGGCCTGAAAGATCAACTGTACCCTAAGCACAAGACAGCAGAGAATGCAACATTAGGCTATAGCCCAAAGCTTTCAAGCTTCAAGGGGAGGAACACACACAAGAGGAAAAGCTGGAGTCTCCTTAGCAGCTTGGGTGAAACGCATGGAGCAGGTTTGGGAGGGTTGGAGTTTTGTCTCAAGAAAGGGAATAAGGGCTATGATGAGGACCTCAAAGAACAGCCCAAGCTTGCTTTCCGTGGGGTGCCAGGTCCTATAACCATCCCTCACTCTCTCATCCTGACCAGTCTGAGCAGGGAGGAGATTTAGGTCCTCACAGGACAAAGAGTTTCTGCCCTCTTAAGTAAGTGCCTCGGCAGAGTACCCATCATTCCCAGAAGAGGGAATTAGTGGAGTGTAAAGAGGAGGGACTGGCCCTGGCAGCTGCCTCCCCCTGTTCTGTGCTGGGAAGCCTGCTGGGCTAAAGGACCCATAATACAAAGCATCCTGAAGTGTGGGCAGATGGGAGCCAGAAGGGGGGAGGTGGTAAATGCACCTACAGCAGTGAGGGCTACTAGCCCACTCCCACCTGCAGCTTCAGAGGACAGGTGGGACCCAGGAAGGAGTGAGGCAGTGCCAACACAGAATCCCCCCATAGTCAGGGACCAAACTGTCATTCCAAATGTCATTTTTACTGCTGGAACAGAGGTGGCTCCGGGAGGGAGGCTGAAGCCAAGGTAGGAGCCCAAGGCTGGGAGCCCCAGCTTGGTGGAGGCCTGCCTTCACTGGAGAGGGAACTTGGCAGACGTAGGCCCCCAGGACCACACAAGTTGGCTCTGTCCTAGGGAGGGCACAGGACTGCTTGTAGGTCCTTGGGCAGGGAGCCAATAACTGTATCAATGTACAGCTGAGCCCGCTGCAGTGTCACCTCCTTCACAGGGAGCTGGTGGCCCTGTGCCCGCACCTGGAGGGCAATGGTAGTAAGGGGTGGCCATGCTTCTGGCCTGGCATGTGGAGTCAGTAAAGAAGGCTTCTCACCAGCTTTTCCCGAAGTTTCAGGACTAGGTCCACCACTTCCACCTCCGACTTGTCCTTCATCCAGGCCTCGATGTTCTGCTAGGAACATTTCAGGTTTTCTCACCAAGCCTCCCACCTACCCTGGGCCTGTACCTATCTCCTCCATTTGCCTTTTCTCACCGCCTCACAAATAGCTTCCAGGTGCAGAGCTTCCAGCTTCTGGGCCATCTCTTTATGTCGTTGCCGATACCAACCATCGAAATGGGGGGACTTGAAGAAACGCCTATGATGGCAAGAGGCAGCTGAGGAGCTGACCTCGTATCTTTGGGGCACCCACACGGCCTGTGCCCAATGTTTTCCCACCTGTAGAGGCCCAACCAGTCGCCCTTGAGAATGCAGGTGAGCTGGGGTCCCGCATGTTCCAGGCTACGCAGGAAATCATCCTGACGGAAGGGGCAGATCTGGGGGGGGCTCTGAAACAAAGATAATATGAGCTGGGTGCTAAAGAGCACAGAAATACAATGCAGGTCCTACCTTTTAGGATGGAACCCTCCCTCCAGGATCTATCTAAAGATCTTCACCCCACCCTGTTTGGGACCGATCCCTGCGGTCCCTCAGAAGTTCTGCCAGTGCTCTCTGTCCTGTGTGGGATGCCTGGCAGGCACAGGGTCAACTTCATGCCCTGGTGGCTCTGGCACCACAGCCACTCTCTGTTCCATATGGACTCCTGTCTCTGGCCTTCCCTTCTTGGTGTGGGATTGAATTGACCCTCCTAGAACTCCCTGGACTCCACCTTCCAGGGTGTGATGCTCTTCTGCAGTGGCATGAGGCTGGCCATGTAGTGCTCCTGGAGGGTAAGGGACAAGGAATGAATGTGAGCCACAACCGCTGTTGTCGTAGCTTCTGCTTTCACCACCCTCTACTATTTCTCCCTCACACCCTGCCTGTCTCACCAGAGGAATGATGAAACTCTGTGTGAGCTCTAGGAAATGCCGCCTCAGGAGGGCACTTTGTGCATCCCATGGCCTCTTCTTCTGCACGCCCTGCAACAGGAAGCAGGGACTTCCTGTTGAGTATCAGCATTGGCTGGTACCCTGCATCCTTCACACCACACCAAGTACCCATGGCCAGGCCCTACCCAATAGCCTATACCTTGAGAAGCCGTTTAAGCAGTGCTTTGTCCCGGTGGAGGTGGGCAGTATACGAGGTGTAGAGACCTGACAGGAGGTCAGAGTTGTGGCTGTCCATTCAGCCTCCCTTCCACTCCCACAGCTCTACTGATGATGAAGACATGATCTGCCTACTGCCCCATTCCCTTGACAGAACCTGCACATCTTCTCACCCCATCAGTTCCGATACTTAAGAGACCTGCTAAAGAAGACAGTGTCCCCCCCGCCCACCTGCCACCATGGGGCCTGAGTAGAAAAGGCCTGGTCATCACCACTGGGGAACTCTACCAAGTGTGGACAGGCCTTACCAGGGTAGCTGGGGCTGCAGCCCCGGGGTGGGGAGGGCGCACAGACCTGGCTTGGTGTCGAGTGTCTTCAGCCGTGAGGGTTTTTTAAGCTTGACCTGTTTAGGAAGGTCCCCTGTGAAATACACCCAGTAGGCAAGGCTCAGTACCCACAGCTCTGCCTGTGCCTATGGCTTTAGGGGTATTGGGTACGGAGCCCCACCTTAGGTCCCAAGTCAGTGACGTTTATAGCTCTTGGTCTTCTCACCTGACATCTTGGGCTCCCCAATTCGGAGGACATGAGGCCAGTGCTGGAGTGTTTTGATAAAGAAAGGGTTTGTGACTCCCAGGACCACGTTTGGTCTAGAGAGAGAGAAAGAAAAAAGAGGCAGAGAGAGGCCTAGGGGAGGTGGTGTGTGAGAATAGGAAGGGAGGACATGTACTTACGGAGCCTGAGTTCGTGTTGTGAGCTCCTTGAACTCGCTGTCATGAATGGTGAAGTAGGGGCGGAAGTCACAGCAGAACTTCAGGGGCTGAAGGCAGCTGTGGGAGTAGGGTAGCAAGGAACAGGTAAGGCTGGGGTAACCTGGCATAGCCATGACAGTCTAGTGGATACAGTCTAGTTGTACCTGGTCAGGGCTAGCACCAGCTCTGAAGACACATCAGGTGACGGTGCCAGGACCACTAGGGGCTCTCCAAGGAGCATGAGCTCCCATAGGGTCTGCACATGGGTTAGCACTGGCCGGAAGCACCTGGGGCAGGAGAGCAATCAGGTCAATCAGGCAGCTCTGTTACAAAGGGGCTGTGGCGAGCATAGAGCATGACCTCTCTCAAAAGGCAGGAGTAAAGATGGTTTGAGTGTAAGAGTATCTTAGGTCACCACAGACCACCTGAGCTAATGCTGGCCTAGGAGACCTGATCTGGACCCTGTCTGTGAGGGAGTGCAGATCCAAAGACCCTGGGGAATCTACCAGTCCAGGACCCTGCCACTCCTATTGCCTCTTAACGCTTCCAGACTAAAGTCCTGGCTCCTGTTGGGCCCAGAATGGAACAAGATAATCTCAAAGTCCAGGGTCCCTTGAAAGGCACAAAGGGGCAGCCTCAGAGAGCAAATGCCTCCCTTACAAACTCTTTGGGCACAGAACCTTCCTGCCCACTGTGCCCATTTTCCGTAAGTCAGACACCTGGGTACAGGTCTCCTCTTTTAAGGATCACTTGGACAAGCAGCCTCTCTTGGCAAGTTGTGCCCTGCATGACATACACACTTGTGTCTGTATGACTGTGAGTAGGCTCCCTTGGAGTAGCCTGTGATACCCTACAGGGCTCACCTAAATAGATCCAGTTCATGGACACTAGTGAGGACGACTGGGGCTGGCAGCAGGTTCTGAGAAGTGAAGGGAATGTAGGTCAGGCCAAGGTGAACACTATCTGATGACAATCCTGCAGGCCCTGCCCCACACTGTTCCCCTCCCCCTAGCACAGGCTCCATACTGAAAATGCTGGCCACCACATGGTTTTGCCTAGGTTTGGCCCCCCACAAAGTACACACAGGCAATAACCACCCAAGCCCAGGGACCAGACTCAGGCTAAGGCCCAGCTCCTTCTACCCCATCCCCCACCTCTTGGTCACACTGCTTTGGAGGATTGGATTCCAGCTTGTCCACCCTGGATGGGATGCGCACCTAGGGAGGAAGGAAGCAGTTGCCAAAACAGGTATAGAGTATCTCCACCCACCAACACCAGCATTGCTTACTCTCCAGCTGGCCCTCACCTGAATGACGACTCCCATGACAGGTAGGTTCAGGGTCTGCCCAGGCACAGGGTCTGGCCATTGGTCAATCTCATTACAAACTGTGGACACGGGTAGCCAATGTCAGGAGCCCTCCCAAAAGGCTGAGATGAGACAATGTTGGCCATGTCTGATGGCCACTCACCTGCTTCCAGGCAGGGTGCCAGCTTCTCGAAGTATTCAGGGGCGATCAGGCTTAGGAGTGACTGAAATAGCCGGACAAATGGCAGGCGGGACACCAGCACTAAAGACTGTGATGATGCAGGGCCAATCAGAGGGCATCAGCCCATGGCAACCCTGAAGCCATGCTTACCCAGAGCTGGTCAGGGCAGCACATCTCCACCACCCCATAGGACAGCTGTCACAGAATAGCCTGACTGATGTATCAGGACTGGACAAGAAAAGCCAGATGTCTACACCCTGAGCTACTGTAGATAACCTTAGGGTAGATAACCCCAGGTAACAAGCAGGGTTAGGACTGGGCCTGGAAGCTTCAGAGGGAAGTGTGAGCTGGCTAAATTGTCCTTACCCTGGCAGCATGATGACACCAGCAAGACTCAAGGAGTTGGGATATTCTGGGCCCAAGGTCAGAAAGGCCTCAAGTGCCATACTAGGCAAAGAAAGGCTTCAGGAAGAAGTGGGTCCAATGGTGGGAGCTCCTCCTTGGTCATGCTACCCAGGTGGGCTGCAGATAGGTAGGCACCTTGGGGGCTCAGGACTCCTCACTAGCTGTCCTCCAGCTGTCCAATATTTGCTACCTCTCCACAGCACTATCTTACAACGGCAGGCACCTCACCTTTTGGAAGTAGCCCCTCTTCACAGAGCTGTCCTTCACTTGTCTGAAGTACACGTAGCCCAGGTAGTGCGCTGGCTCTCTCTGTAAAGAGTATAGTATTAGCCATACCCTACTTAGACCATTAGCTAGATCCAGGGTGACATAAGTAGGAGCTGATAAGGAGGAAACGTAAGGCCGGGAGCATGGTGGTGCATGCCTTTAGTCTTGGCGCTCAGTATTGGGAGGCAGAGGCAGGTGTATCTCTGAGTTCAAGGCCAACCTGGTCTACACAGTGAATTCCAGTACTGCCAGGGCTATGTAGAGAGACCTTATCTTAAAAAACAAAACAAAACAAAACAAAACAAAAATGCCAGGTGGTAGTGAACACCTTTAATCCCAGCACTTGATAGGCAGAGGCAAGCTGATCCCTATGAGTTCCAGGAAAGCCAGGGCTACACCAAGAAATTCTGTCTTGAAAAACAAATTAAACAAACAAACAAACAAAACAAAACAAAACCTAATAATCCAGATCTGTGGTTTGCTCTTTGCCTACCACAGTGGGATCTAGAATTCCCTAGTTCAGGTGGGCTAAACCAGTATAGGGCACATGGCTGACATGGAAAGGCCGTAGACAACATGAGAGTTCCCCAAGATCCCTGCAGGGTTCTGCAGTCTTCTGCTCATTGAGCCACACTATTTGATCACACCAGTGCCCAGCAAGGGAGACCTGCTGTACAGTACCAACTTCAGTGGTGCTGGTGAAGCCCAGCAAGATCTGGCCTCGGCAGAGACACCCAGTGCAGGATCAGCAGGCCAGGATGGGTCTGGCCAGCACTTCCACCACACAAGCCCAAGGGCTTTGACAGGGCCCTTAGTAAAGGAAAAGAAGACACAAACCAGACACATCCCAGTACTCACCTGCAAGGCCAAGGGGGCATTGTTGTTATAAGGCCTGTCATCACCATGCCAGAGGCTTCTCTGTCCTCCACACTGACGCATACGGAAACTGAACTGAGTGTCTCCAAGGCATCCTGAAAAGAGGCAGCCCCGCCACGCATGTCCCATTGTCAGGAGTGAGGGCTGTGGTACTAGTCAAGGGAACTGTGGTACACTCAAAGGAAAACTGACTGGAGGATCTGTCTCCCAACAGATTCCTATCCCGATTCTACATACCACAACCACATACGGGGTCTTGGACTGAATCAACACAGGGGGAACTAGCTTAAGTTTCCCTTCAGGAGACTGACTCAATCGGCTTGGGACAGGAGAATACACTATGCATTGCTCATCAACTTGGTGGCTGCTGTAATGGAATGAAGGAGACCAGACTACCCAGGTAGATGGCTATATATGGGTTTTTATTATTATTATTTTTATTCTATATGCATTGGTATATTGCCTGCATGTGCACCTATGTGAGGGTGTCAGATCTTGGAGTTAGACAATTGTGATCTGCCATGGGAGTGCTGGGGATTGAACCTGGGTCCTCTGGAAGAATAGTCAGTGCTCTTAACTACTGAGTCATTTCTCCATCCCCCTATCTATGGGTTTTAGGGAACCTGGATATCTTGCTGCAGCTGGGGCTCCAGTGAGGGTCTTTGTATACCTCTGGCAATCTACCTACCATTGGCCTCATCACTCTACTTTTTGTTCATTGCCTTCCAGCCCCAGAGCCAGTGTCCAGTTGAGAGGGTGTGGGATTACCTACCTGAGTGGGAGTCTGGAAAAGACAGATAGCAGATGCTGCTTTTCTGAAACAAACAGAGCCCAATGAGGGCTGGCTCATTCCTGGGGACACCCATTCCCAAGAAGTCCAGCACTTACCTCCTTGTCTGTGAGCCGGAAGTCACTTGGGTAGACTAGCTGCAGGGGAACACAGAGCACTTGGTGATCCTGCATCTGCTGGAGGTGACCCCATCCACTAAGACAGCTCAGCAGGGGCCATAAGCATCCTTAGGGCTTATGGGCAGGCTATAATTGTGGCCCACTTCCTGGCCTCCCAGTGACCTGCTCCTTCCCTACATGCTATCTTACATTAGAACCTGCTCCTCCAATCTGATTCCTCCTCTCCACCTTCAGCCCTAGTTTATATCAGGTGTGCTTGTTAGATTTCCGTCAACTTGACATTAGCTAGCTGGAGTCATTCGGGAAGAGTGACTCTCAGTTGAGAAAATTCCTTCATAAGGCTGGCCTATAGGCAAATCTGTGGTACATTTTTTAATTAGTGAATGATGTGGTAAGGCCCAGCCTGTTATGGGTGCTGCCACCTCTTGACTGGTGGTTCTAGGTGACACAAAAAACCAAGCTGAGGGCCAGGAATGGTGGTGCATGCCTTTGATCCCAGTACTCAGAGGCATTGAGAATGAAGAAGGTCTGTTTCAGGGGATGCCTCCCTCAAAAAGCCAATATAAGTGAAGGCAAAGCCAGCTTGATCTACATAGTGAGTTTTAGGATAGCCTGGCTACAAAGACCCTTAATAAAACAAACAAACAAAAAGTATGTATATGGCTGGGTGGTGGTGGGGCATGCCTTTTAATCCCAGCACTCAGGAGGCAGAGGCAGGTGGATCTCTATGAGTCTGCAGCCTACCTGGTCTACCGAATAAGTTCCAGTTCAGCCAGATATACACAGAGGAAACCCTGTCTCGAAACACACACTCTCCCCCGCCAAAAGAATTATACTTTTCTATTTAGAAGATTTTAGACCTCTAGCCTCTCAGCTCATCTGGGACATACTGTTTCTCTAACCACAAAGGTTTCAAGGGTCACTTTTCAGCCTCTCAGGCTCTCACAGTTCCCTCTGACATTGTGGTCTGCCTATGAGACACTGTCATCTACAGTGGACCTCTTGTGATGCTCAGTTCCCTGGTTTGTGTCAGGGCCATTTAGAACGCAGACATTTTCTTGACTGGATTTGCCAAAAGCTTCACTGAGTTTAATAAATTTTCTTCCTCCTTCTCGTCATCTTTCTGGTGGTTTTTGTTTTGTTGTTTTCTTTTCCGTTTTTTTTTTTTTTTTTTTTTTTTTTGGTTTTTGTTTTCTATTGAGACAAGGTCTCATTGTGTAGCCTTGGCTGTCCTGTAACTCATTAAGTTGACCAAGTTGGCCTTGAACTCATAGAGATCGGGCTGCTTCTGCCTCTATAGAGTACTGGGATTAGACCAGTACCACCATGCCATCTTGTTTTTCTTCATACAATATCTGATTCTGAAGCTCAGGCTACTCTGGAACTCACTATATAACTCATACTAGCCTCCAACTCATGATCCTGTCTCAGTCTCCCAAATACTAGGGCTTGCATGTACCACTATGCCTGGCTGATATTTTCATCTTATCTAGAAGGGAAGTTGCCTTTATGCGTAGGTGGGATGGAGGCCTTCATGCCACAGGAAGACCACATCAAAAGCCTAAGGCCCCGCCCAGCTAGCTTCACACAGCTGGTGACCAGATGCCAAAGGTTGGGAAGAGCTCAAAACAGAGGGGCCAAGCAGGGCCTCACAGGGTCTGGATCTGATTTTAAGTGTAAGAGGAGTGCCACATGATTCTTAGCAGGAAAACCAGAAACAAACTATGGGTGACACTGGAGACTGCAGCAGACCCAGTGTGAAACCTGGGGGGACACAGACCCTAGGACTCTAGCTTGAGCAATTTAGGGCAGGAGATATTTTTGCCTCTTTGGGGAAAGGGCCACGGAAGACGTTGTGGAAGATACACTGATGGATAGGCAGTCAGGCCTTGGAGACTGTCCCTTTCTTGGCCCGGAAGGCGCTCCTAGACCTCTGAGCAAAAAGAGGCTCCTTTTGACAAAAGAGGTGTCAAGCAATAGGAAAGAGGGTTAGGAAAGAGGAGGTCCCTATGTTAGTCATTAGTCTAAGGAAGTGGGGGAAAGGTCAGCCTGAGGATACAAAGTATTCAAAGAGGCGCCTAAGAAGACCCTAGACCAAGCAGGAAGGCTACAGGCCAGGAGGCCATGTGACTTGCTTCCTGGAGGATGGGCGCGCAGCGTAGAGACAGGACTGGGAGGAAAGGAGCCGCAGGGGTGCAGGCGAGGGAAGGGAGGAGCGTGGGGGGAGGGGCATCGGGAGAGGAGGGACGTCCGGAGAGGAGGGGCGTCTGGAGAGGTTCAGGCCGCGGGAGGCAAGGCACGAGGACAGTTTTGGAGGATCGGCCAGCGGGACAGCTTACCTCCAGCGCTTGGCCCAGCTCCAGATCGAAGGTGACCACGCACACGCATTCCAGCCAGGCAGAGAAGCGCGCCCAGGGTATCGCCGAGGCCCTCTCTGCACGGCCGGAGGACGTGGACCTAGTCGCGCCTAGTCCTCCGCCAGCTTGCCGAGGCCCGGTGCCCAGCGGCACCTCCATGGTGGTAGCTCAAAGCTATCCCCGCTCGTTGCGGGGGAAACGCAGGGGTTCACCTGGCCCGCCTCGGAGCAGTCGAGCTGTCGCCACAGGCCAGAAGGTCCCCTGAGCAGCCGCGCGCCCCCTGGCGCCAGAGGAGCGTCCGCCCTGGGGCGTCGGCGAATGTACCAGCGAGAAAAGCCCCAGCCGGTTAGAGGGGTCCAAAGCTGGTGACATTTCCCGATAGTGGAGCATGCGTGGCATGGGTCCGCCGGTGGAGCGGGCCTGGTGCGGCTCTGAAGCTGGCCGGCGAGCAATGCTGGTTCTGATAACCCTAGTCCGCGCCTGGGCGTGTCGTGGCGCCCACCAGGGATGTATGACCTTTTGTGCTTCTCGGAACCAACCACACAGAAATTGTATTGTGCTACCTAGGGGTATCCATCTCAGCCGAGGGTTGTGACCTTAATGTTCATTTAGCGTGTCATCGTCACTGGACCTTGTCATCTACTGCGTTCACACCGGGCAGTCGCTCAAGCTAGTTACAAACCTTAAAAGCTCAATCCTTTAAAAGTGTGAAAACCACTCCCAGGCGGTGGTGGCGCTCTCCTTTAATCCCAGCATTCAGGAGGTAGGGGCAGGCAGATCTGAGTTCGGGCTACAGAACCAGTTCCAGGACAGCCAGGGCAACACAGAGAAACCTGTCTCTGAAAATCAAAACAAAAAAAGTGTGTGTGTGTGTGTGGGAAACCCACAATATTTGGGGCTGGGGAGGTGGTTCAGCGAATAAGAACACCGGCTGTATCCACAACAGCTGCTCTTCCTGCGAATCGATGCCCTCTTCTGACCACCATGGGCACCATGCACAGGCAAACACTAGAAAATAAATCTTTAAATAAACACCAACAAGCTTTAAGTTCACAATCTTGTGTCTAAATGTATAACTCTCCTGTACTTCATTGGGGTTCCCTGTACGGGGTTGGACACCATTGATAAGCCGCATCTCCACCCATCCACACGTTAGTGAAGGCCATTCTATCCGAGTTGGCATATCTGCTGCCCCTGACCCATTCCCACTTCAGGATCGGCTGCCCCGTTTGTCTAACAAAAAGGCAGCCTGGTCAATTGATGCTGCTGCCTCTAGGAGTAAAAGAGATTGCAGGCTAACTCAGAGGCCAGGTTTATAGAAGGGTGAATTTAGAACAAAGACAATGAGACAGGATAGAAATTCAGAACAATTTGGTGGGGTGAGGGTGGGGCATGAGAAGGGAAATGGAGAACCTCCTCCCCATGCCCAGCCTCTTACCAGTAAAGAAGCAAAAAATCTAGCATAATTAACAACTGCTTAAGGCCTTTCTTTTCCCAGTTATAAATTTGCCATTTTCCAGAAATCCCATTAGAAACCTTGTTTACAGGTAAAAGACGTAAAGGGAATCTCTTATGCAACCCTAATAATTTCTGGTTTTACCTTACCAGATTGCCATCCAAGGCATTTCCAGAGTTTCCTCACCCATCCTACTTATGGGGAGAGCACATTAGTAATCTTTGGAGACACAACCTGAGAGCCATCAAGATGGGATATTGATATGATCAATGCTGAATAATTGTGGTTTTTTTTGTTTTGTTTTCTTTTTTTTTTTTTACAGAGCCCTTACCTATTTATTTGTCTTATTGGCTCCTGAGAAACCTGCACCCATACTCTAGGATGTCTTACTTTCTTCTGAGTCCCATGCCCCCCCCCCCCAGCACACATCCTCATTTGAGACAGGGTCTCAATGTGGTTTTGGCTGGGTTGGAACTTGCTATGTAGACCAAGTTCATTTTGAACTCACAGAACCCTGCCTGCCTCTGCTAGGATTAAAAGTGGCTATCACCATACTTGCATTGCCCCTCTTAACTCCTGTGCTTAAGTTTATGTAAAATATATTTTTTTAAAGATTTTATTTATGTATTGCATATACAGTATTCTGTCTACATATATGCTTTCAGGCCAGAAGAGGGCACCAGACCTCATTACAGGTAGTTGTGAATCAACATGTGGTTGCTGGGAATTGAACTCAGGACCTCTGTAAGGACAGCCAGTGCTTTTAACCTCTGAGCCATCTCTCAAGCCCCGATATTTTTTTATTAAGTCCCAGCTCTTATTCTATTAGAAGTTGGAGCAAAGTGCTGATGGAGATAATGAGGGTGAAACATATTTAGCACATGGGTTGCAGTTTTACTTTTTGATGAGGGATGTCCTTCTATATTCTGTGAATATTTGCTGCTTTTAATGGTTGATGAATAAAGCTGATTTGGCCAATGGCCAGGCAGAATATAGTCAGGTCGAAAATCTAAACAGACACAGAGTGAAAGAAGAGCAGAATCAGGGGGATGCCATGTAGCCACTGGAGAAGGAAGATGTGGGGTAACAAGCCACGAGCCTCATGGAAAATATAAACTAATAGAAATGGATAATTGAATTGTGAAAGCTAGTCAGTAATGAGCCTGAGCATTGACCAAACAGTTATAACTAATATTAAGCCTCTGAGTGTTTATTTGGGAACTGGTGGGCAGGAGAAAAACCTTAATTCACAACTTTTCATTGTCTTGGAGCCACCTTTTTGTCATGGAAGTGCCTATCATAATCCTAAACTATCAATAAAGATGATGTTTTCACTAAAAAATAAAAAAGTAAATTCAAATTCTGCTTCATAAAATGGCTAGTCTTGATATGTCATTCTTTTCCATGTCAAAGCCACAAATCCAAGTCTGGTTTTAGCTGAGCTCCCTAAATGTCTAGAACTCAGGCTGCTAAGAAAGGCAGTAATAGCAATACTATCTAGTATACTATGATGTATTTTAGGTGATATTTTTTTTAAGCCCTTCAGACCTTTTCCCAAAATGCATGACTTACACCAGACTTCAGCAACAATATCCAAGACTTTTTTGGGGGGTTGTTGGAGACAGTGTTTTCATGTATCGGCCCTGGCTGTCTTGAACTCATTTTGTAGACCAGGCTTGCCTTGAACTCACAGAGATCCACCTGCCTTTGCCTCCCAAAGTGCTCCTGGTATTAAAGGTGTCCCAGATTCAAACTCCAAATCGTAAATGGTTTTTCCATCCATGTGAACTCATGGGAAGGCCAAATGGACCTCTGGAATACATGTTACCAAAGTTGAAAAAGAATGTAAATGTTATTTTGTTATTTTTCTTGTTCATTGACTTTTAATTGCCTAGAAATTATTCACTTGCAGTCCATCTGCCAAGAGTAGTCATGCGGTTCCAAGCAGGGATGTGAGCTTATGGTTATTTATGAGCCACAAAATCATTGTCTTTTTGTATTACCACATTTTGTTAAGTTTAAGATAATTATTTTATAAATAGGAAAACTGCTACCAACTGCAGTGGTAAGTGAAGCAAGCCCATTATCCCCACCTGCAGCATGCCAATCATGTATGGCAAGACTAGTTTCACAAGTGGAGATGAGAGTCCGTCTCAGCTGTTTTCTCCAGTATAGGGTTTGATAGGTATCTTTATTGGTTGAAATTGTGAAAAATAGAAGTGGTGTGATTCATGCATGTGTAGCTAGCTAAACATCAAATTAGTATAACCCACGAGTAGGAAGTGTTATATGTCCCTTTGAAATTGGTGGTTATCTTTTTTGTTTTGTTTTGTTTTTCAAGACAGAGTTTCTCTGCATTACTTTGGAACTTGTCTCTGTAGTTCAAACTCACAAAGATCCACCTGCCTCTGCCTTCTAGGTGCTGGGATTAAAGGCGTGTGCCACCAATGCCTGGACTTGGTGGTTATCTTTTAAGTTTTAACAAATATTATCTAGCCAGGCAGTGGTGGTTCACACCTTTAACCCCAGCACTCAGGGAGGCAGAGGCTAGCCTGGTCTACACAGTGAGTTCTAGGACAGCCAAGGCTACACAGAGAAACCCTGTCTGGAAAACAAAACAAAAATCTCATTTTATATGTATGAATGTTTTGTCTGCATGTATGGATGTGTACCATGCATGTGCCTGGTGCTTGCAGGGGTAAAGACAGGGTATCAGATCTCCTGGAACTGGAATTCCAGGTGTTTGTAAGCTGGCAACCAAACCCATAGCCTCTCTGCAAGAATAGTGAGTGCTCTTAACTACTGAGTGCTAGTATTCAGGCATCTGTACTGGCCTGTCCTTGGGGTTCTGACAGCTGCACATTCACTATGTTCCCTTTCAAAGGGCCCTGCCCACCTCCCATCCTCCCACCCCTCTCTCCCTTTTCTTCTCCCTCTCCCTCTTCCCGCTTTCTCTTTCTCTTCCACTACTCTTGTCTCAAGGGACCAATCTCTGCCCCTCTCTGACCCTTTTTCTACCCCTTCTCTCTCCTTTTCCAATAAACCTCCTTTGTGAGTCATTTGTATGGCATGACTTCTCTTCACAGCATTTTAAAAATTACAACACTGAGCTATCACTCCAACTCCTCCAACTAATTTTTTGTTTTGTTTTGTTTTTGAGAGAGAGTTTCTCTGTGTATAATCTTGGCTATCCTGGCACTTGATCTGTAGACCAGGCTGGCCTCGAATTCACAGAGTTCTGCTTGCCTCTGCTTCCCCAGTTCTGGGACTAAAGGCTCTTGGGCCACCACCACCTGGCATGAATACATATTAAAATTTGTGAAGCTTCAATGACTTTTGACAAATGAACCAAATCAACAAATTTTTATAACCCAAGCACTAGTAAGATATAAAAAGTTGTTGGGTGGTTTGAGGCCAGCATGGTCTACAAAGTGAGTTCCAGGACAGCCAAGACGATTACACAGAGAAACCATGTCTTATGAAACAAACAAACAAATAACAAACAAAAAAAAGCCTTATGAATTTTGTATGTTAGGCAAATAATGGGATAAGCCCCATTATTCTTGCTACAAAATCCTTTTTATATGTTACTGAATTTTACTTTGGGACACTTTATTTTAACTCTGCTATAATACGGGTTTTATTAACATGTGTTAATTGTACAAAGTAATGATTTTTGTCTTGATTCAGGGTGTTGTGTAGCCAAGGATGGCCTTTGCTTACCTCACCTATGTAGCTGAGAATGACTTTGAACCCCTGATCCTCCTGCCTGTACTTACCAACAGTGGAGATTACAGGTGTGCACCATGTCACTATTGCCTGCCAAATGAGTGGTTTCATCATGATATTTTCACATATTTCTATATCATGTTTAGCTCACAATTAACTCTTCTCCATCTGTTCCCCCCTGGCATCCTTCCCA